ATGACAGAAAAAACACTACAAGCAATAAAGAAAAGAAGAGAAAAAAACCAAAAGGAAGATAGGAACAAACTAAGAATTATGAATGCAACAATACAACAGCTTGTGCAGAAAGATAAAGAAAATTACTACAATGTCCAATGCAGAGAAATAGAGGATAACAACAAAAAGGGAAGAACAAGAAATCTATTTCACAAGATCCAGGAAATCAAAGGAAAATTCAAACCAGGGACTGAGATTATCTATGACAATAAAAATAATATAATTCAATACCAGGAAGGAATAAAAAGACATTGGATGCAATATACAGAAGAATTATACAAAAGAGACAACAAAATGAAGGACACATGGAATGAAGAGACAAATTCTAAAAAGTGAGATAGAAACTGCAATAAGAGAAATGGCGAATAACAAATCACCAGGAACTGATGATATTCCAATTGAACTGCTGCAGTCCACATTGACAGAGTCAACTCTAGTGCTAACCAACATATGTCAACAGATATGAAAAACAAAATGATGGCCAACAGATTGGAAGCAATCAATATACATCCCCATCCACAAAAAAGGAGACACAAGAGACTGCAGCAACTATAGGACCATAGTACTAATCTCCCACACAAGCAAAATCATGCTCAAAATTCTGCAACATAGAATCCAACCATACATGGAAAGAGAGATCCCAGAGGTCCAAGCAGAGTTCAGGAGAGGAAGATGCACTAGGGATCACATTGCAAACATACAATGGCTAATGAAGCACACCAGGGAATCCCAAAAGAAAATCAGCTTGTGCTTTATAGACTTTAGCAAAGCCTTTGACCATGAAAGACTATGGAACACCCTTAAAGACTTTCACCCTATCTGTTCAACTTGTGTGCAGAACATATTATAAGAAAAACAGGCCTGGACACAGAAGAAGGAGGAATAAAAAATAGGAGGAAGGAATATTAACAATCTGAGATATGCAGATTATACCATAATACTAGCAGAAAACCTCACAGACCTGGAACACCTACTAA